AGTTGTGCGGTAACTGTTGTAAGTACACGGAAATGATGTTTTGAATACGATTGTATTTTCCACATGAAATGATCTGTAATTTTACAACGTGATACCACTATTTATAAAATGACACCATTGCTTTCTTCATCAATACGCATGTGTGTACCCAATGCAGATCAACGGTTCTGATTAAAGTCTGTGAATCTGTTTCTTAGCGTCATGCAAACCTTATTAGCGTTTCACGATACACACTTATTGGCACCATCAAATGTGGTGGATGTTTACACAAATAGAGCTCAAATCGACAAAAAAGATACAATAATACCATCTGTGTTAACCGTATTGTCAACTTTCAAGTCATTGTGAACTATGTAAAAATCTAACCCATAATATACATGTATGTTACTTTGACACGTGTCAAATATGGAACCACCAGCAATGTTATAGAGGTTTCAGTCACTCGTAGCCCTAACCCTTGGAAACAAAAGTTTACATAATTAATAAATTCCAGATAACCCCCCACAAAATTCCTACGAAAAGCAGACTCGATAGTACGATCCCGACAGCATAATTAGCACGTGATATGGATCACTATCAAAATATGGTGACATCCGGTGTTCGCAAAACGATCAGCGTATCCTGCCCCGTCGGTAGCACACGTCACAAACACACGAAAAGGCACGTCTGTTGTCCACCTAAAAATATACAACACCCAATACAAAGGGCCAATCATGGTAATCGTTGGTACGAAACCTGAACTCGACCCGATAACATATTTTTTTACTCTCAGCACTTGCAATCATGTTTCACAGAAGTGGATTTTGTCTACGATCCCAGTTGGTTTCGAGTCTGTTGTGGCATAACTGAAATACTTATCAAAGTACAAATTGCTTGCTTGGCTGTTCATACTTGTAAATCCCACACCAAACATAGGAAACAACTTCAAAACACCGAGATGTCGAGTCATGGTATGACACTGCTGAAGCTGGTTTTGATGTGGTATTGCAGAAGAAGTAGCGCTGAAACAAACGTGTGGTACAAGTAAAATCAGTTGACCTCAAAACTGCACACCGTACAACGAAACAAAAAACATGTGGTGAACGCAACAAAAACATAATTTAGTTGCCTCTGCAGCACCAATCTCTAGTAATTATATAGCGATTGCATCATGCATGATTCCTAATCACAAGCCAAATCTTATTTCATCGGTGTTTGAGGAGCGGTTGTGGAAATAAATGTCGTTCAACAAAATACAATTGATAGTTACCTCATGATAAATTTGTTAATAATCGGTTAACCAAAAAACACTATTGTGTTCTAAATGCCTTCAGTCGGTTACATATTTTCCTTCAAGATGAGTTGAGTTTTTTATATAGAGTAAAGTAATCATTACAATCATTTTAAACCATGGTAGGCAATATTCCAATTGTCAACATCTTCTATAGTGACTAGTATGACTGATATCCCTGGTGAGACAAGCGATGCTCACCTATTCGAGAAAACATGGTGTCAACACAATTTGAACATAATTCATAAACATATGCTCCTGATATGCTAGTGGTGGGACTCCTTCAACCGACTCTGCTTTTAAGAAGAATTTCATATGATTATGAATAAGGTTTTGCTCACTTCTATTCAAGGCAATACATGCTAGTTAAGATTGTGTTTTGTAGAATGGATACCAGTATATTTTCAAGTTGGCATATACAGATCTCACATCAACGTGCGGATCTCAAGTGCAAATTCAGAATATTTGGAAACGCTCGTAAAATCAACAACGTAAGTAGATAAGTGCAATTTTACGAGTCTCCACGATCTCCTTACGTTACATGCATTAATAATCATATACTTGGACTTAATTCAAGCCTAATAGTTTCTATCGTCAGCAATAATATTCGGCTCTTTCTTGCAACTACAAGCAAATAAACACCTCTATATGTAAAATGGCCTATCAACACAGGAACTGACAGAGTTTAAATGCTAATGCTGACTGAGAATCATTTCTTTGATCTTAACATGCATCAAATCATCCGTTATACGACTCAAAACCCTGGTCAACCAATGTCGTCTAATGTGAGGTTTCAAATGTTTGAGAAAGAGGTTTCCAATAAACTTTAACACACGTCATAGTTAATTGCAAGCTTTTTGATAAAACCAAGATCCTGACTGATGTGGCATCGATTGGCATGGGTGATGTGTGTGTGTGTGTGTGTGTCGATTGTGTGGTGTGTGTGTTGGGTGTGTGTGGCGTGTGTGTGTGGTGTGTGTGTGTGGGTGTGCGTTGTGGGTGTAAGGAGGGGGACTTGTGTTAAATAACGTCATTGTCAGCAATATGCCGTTACATCGCGATGGGCACACAGCTCGGGCCAGACAGGCCACTGGCTGATATTATGGTTATCATCCCACACAATCCCCAATTCATTTAGTCAATTCCGGCAGCAATAGAGCGGTGATCGTGGGTTTCCCTGATCACATTTTACGTTATGTCCGCATCTAATATGTTACCTCAGATTTAACACTCATATCAGCACGCCTTGGTATAACAAAAATACAGGTCAATGCACAATTGAATAAAATTTACTCACTCAATCACTCCAATACAAGCTTAACTCATTCAGCACGACATGGTGTACAGTGAAGTCTTGGGGCTAGTTAAATAGACATCTCCTTGCCCATCCTGGATGTTTGGAATGTCTGGTAGATACAGAGTTTTCTCGGAAAGGTGAAGGTTGGATGACCTTGCAGTGACCACTGCTCACGTCACAGGCGTTGTTCCATCTGATCTCAGGAGGTCTGGAGAAACAACAACCCATGACAGAACTGCCAGGTTGTGCCACCTCCAAAAGTCCGTTATACCTGGTGAACATGTAGACGAGCTTTACTCTGCTGCAACGTGACGTTACGTTCCTGAACTAGCGCGTAGAAGCTAATCTCGAATGACGTCGTCCCGGTGACGTGGAAGCACAATTGGATGCATCGCTGGGCGTAGCCGCGCGCCGTATGTTGAGCTCCATCAACCGGTTACGATGGTTCTGCTACTCACTGGTCTCAGCCTAGGAAATGTCCACGCACTTTATGAGACAGTTTAGGATCGATTCTGGAGATGCACCAACCAAACATGGTTGCCTTGTGGACGTGACGTAACAATTCAGGAATATTGTCCTACTGTAGAAAACATCTCTATAGAGATGGTATTATTGTTATTTGATGAACATTAAAATGTCTGGTAACTTCGTTTTGCGCTATTCCTGTTAGCAGCCTTCCCACAGCGTAAACGTTGATTTTTCTGCAGGTCATGGCTTTGCATAAGCATTATTTACTGTCAAACAAAAGCGTTTAAAATGAGCACCAGATAGCGAAACACTCGAATATGCAGTCCACATAACGAAAACACGCGTGAGAGCACCATGGCCCCAACCAACGTGCGAACATCCACACTTTGAGACATGCATGAACATGCACGTGCAAATCGTGAATCATGACCTCAAAGTCGAGGAGCTGTCTTTATGAAGTTTTATCTAAAGATGCATTTTTTCAGGATAAAGTATTTGTATTTAATCTGATGTAAAACACAGTTAGCATGTGGTGGAATAGAGGACTACATTTTTTAGCCTAACGCTTCATTGTAATTCATATCGATAAACAATTGATAGACATGCATACTAATTATCTCTGTTTGGATGTTGTCACCTCAAGAATATCCATGACATTCACACAACAATAATTCATGAACGCACTTACATTTCAATGGTATCATATATCTACATTGGTTACAAGTTTTTTTCCTAAATATTACAAGGATAATATGGTAATAGAATATTAAATTTGAAACATGTGATTGTCTTTTAGAGATTAAAGAATAATAGCCTGGCTGTATCTATACTTCTTCCTCTGTTAAATGGCTTTTGGTTCCCCATGCGATACTCTTATATCAAAAATTCGTGCTTTTGTGTAGTCATTGTTATGATGTTTCAGGTGCAATATCATGGTGATGCCATCCGCGTTAGGTCATACAATGGGGTATTTTGAGAATGTCATGCATTATTTCAGCCATAAAAAGATGAAACAAGCTTACACTAAAACACAAAAAATCATTTATAAATACAAAGTTATATTTACGAAACGTTTGAAGACAAAAATTTACGATATTGAACACTTACTAAATAAAGAAGTTGTTATCCATAATGTTTGTTCAATCTTGTACGCCCCCTACTTCTAAAATTCCACTCAAAGAAGTTAAAAGGGGCAACGAGCTGTTCTAAATTTTACAGTAAACAAAAATCCAGATATGGAATATTCTTAGAATAGTGAGTGAGTGAGTATGATTTTACGCCGCTTTTAGTAAATGTTCCAGCAATATCACGGTTGGCACACCAGAAATGGGCTTCACTTCCTCTTAGAATAAAACTGAGACTGAACCTCTTTTCAGATTGTTCGATGCTCACATTGGATAAAATTGAAAAATTAAAAATTGAATTTCCTTTTCCCCCGCACATGTGCCGAAGTGTGCATTGAGAGTTTGGAGCTCGCAAATCTTGCCCAATATGTTGTTCTTTGTGTCCCATGCTGTTAACTACAAACAGGACCTTTATCATTTATTAATAATATAAATCTCGTCGAATATGATCGAATCCCTCTGTTGCTATGTTACGAGTGAGTGAGTATGGTTTTACGGCGCGCTTAGCAATATTCCAGCAATATCACGGCGGGGGACACCTGAAATGGGCTTCACACACTTGTGCCCATGTGGGGAATCGAACCTGGGTCATCGGCGTAACGAGCCAAGGCTTTAACCACTAGGCTACCCCACCGCCCCTGCTATGTTACTAAGTCACTCTTCCTAATACCAGTTCTGGCTGAAGTCGAACTATGAGATACAATGCGCTCATAGAGGTCGTTGCCTATATTTTTAACACAATCTTTTTCACATTCATCAGAAATCTCAGAGCCAATTTTATAATTCTGTCCACATCATGAACATGCATATGAATGTCTTTCAAACATATTCACTCATACAGATCTTACTTTCCGAGAGATTCTATAACGTGAACGTTCTGTCAGCTTCTAGTTTGTCACAGTTTGAAAGTTCGTGTGTGTTTAAATGAGGTTACAGTTTAAATCTATCAGTATAAACCGTCCTCACGCTCCCCCTGCCATTCACCGGCAGCCGACCTTGTCTTGTATCTCACAGTAAGGGGTTCTGGTGAGAGCTCATCTCGAGACTCTAATGCAATGGAATTTAACCTTTTCAAAGTATCGCTTTCTCGTTTTACAGGTTGTCTTCTTTGTGAGATAATACGCTTTTCCCCGATCGATACACATTGTTGTATTTCAAATTAGATAAGACCATCCACCTGAGACTTTAAGATGGCTCAAACGGAGAGACACAATTTCACAATGAAGTTGCAAATCTTAGAGCGCTGAGTTCATTGCATCATGGACAGATTAACCCCTAGGAGACATGACGAATTATGCTAGATTGGAAGCATACTGTGTGCGACGCATTCTAAAACTTGAGAGGTTTAATGTCAGCACAATTTACTGCTGTAACTATCACACCACGGAGTAGCAATATCAAAGTGTACACAGTAACATCCATCTCAGGGACGGGAGGCTAGCATTACTGGTTTGAGTATTTTGATCAGTACACTGTAGATCTTAGTTCGATTGTCGACAGTGATTTGAGAATCTGTTCTTTGTGTTCACCGTGTTGTGGTGAGTGAGTTTAGTTTTAAGACGCATTTAGCAATATTCCAGCAATTATACAGGGGCACCAGAAATGGGTTTCACACATTGCACCTATCTGGGGAATCGAACCCGTGTCTTCGGCGTGACGAGCGGATGCTTTAACCACTAGACTACCCCACCGCCATCCAACCGTGTTGTGAATGGTATTACATACTTATGACTCATGACGTCATTGCACCGTGAATAGTATTACATACTTATCACTCATGACGTCATTGCACCGTGAATGGTATTACATACTTATCACTCATGACGTCATTGCACCGTGAATAGTATTACATACTTATCACTCATGACGTCATTGCTTGTGATTCAAGCTTGTGATTCAGTTCACAAATCACAACACATTATTCTTCGTGTTTCCTTAAATCCATAAAAACCTCGCTCATTCCAAAACAGGGTCATATGTCTTTAGGTGCCTTAAAGTCATGGTTTAGAAAAAGATGCTTTTCACGATCGGCTCTCTGGCATAATATCATCTCTTTGCCTGCCGCACTCACAATTGTTCCAGTCTGTTAATATTCAAGCCTGAACCACACACTCCAGTGACTGACATCGTGAGCATCGGCCAACGCCACTGGGATACGATGATATGCATCAACCAAGTCAGCGAGAATGACCACCCCGATCCCGTTAGTCGCCTCTTACGACGCATGGGTTACTGAAGGTCAGTTGTAACCGGAATCCTCTCACGACGAACATGGGTTGTTGAAGCCCATCCGTAACCCGAGTCTTCACTGGTCTCAACCAATGGTATTGACAATAACTGCAATGACAATTCTACACCATCTCTCCCTCATTCATGTAAGTAATTCCATATGTTCCCTTCAGTACGCACGTTTATTAGATAAGCTTGCTATCGTGCGGACTGTTCAATCAAATGTGTCTTTCCTCGAATACCGTTCTCGTAAGTCAGTGTTAGTCCTGATAAAGTATAACTAATCGAACTCAAGTGATACCCCACAGACTGACGAGGTACTCAGGGGAGAGTGATTTCTCTGACTCCTTCATCGGTAAGTAGAAGGCTGGATACAAATTTAACGAAGATGCACAGTTGTACAAACGATGTCTTATATACTTAACAAAATGGAAAAGTTCAATAAAGTTATAGTACCAGGTGTTCTCAAAACATGAGCGTATCCTCCACCACCGGCGGAACCCGTCACAAACACATGCAAAGCCATATCAACTGCTCACCGGAGAAGCCAAAACCCTAACGCAAGATAAACAGGTAACCATATGGTACAAGTCAAAATCTGGAATTGTGTAGCTTGCTTGCCATAAAACGAGTTGAAAGTTGTAGTTAATTCTAAGGAGCAGATAATCTCCAAAACATCAACATAAGGAATATAGTAACATGATGATTCGTTACAAAATCAAAGGCGCTGACAGACGATAAAGTACAATATTTTGCATTACGTCATAATGTGGTGACGTCACTATGCCATTCTAGTCTGCCCCCTTCGTAATCAACCGTACCCTTGTGAGCTCAGATCTGGCATGGATGTATTTATCTAAACCTATATTGAAACCAGGAACGCGATTTTCATATTACCCTATTTGGTTTGCGATTATCTCAGATTTTATCATAATAATACAGAGAAGATATATAATCTGAATGTAATCTGTTTTCTTCGTAACGCTCGGCTTAACGTAGGAGGCAGACACGTCATTAGAACAGCACTCCAGCCCTGAACGAGGATCGTTAATTTAGGCCACCGACACCATTGTTTTTCTGTTTGTTTTCTGCATAAGATTAATCGTCTGAAAGTATTACAAGATGCATCTTAAAAAAAGAAATGCAGTTCGCTCTACCTCCGTGTATAGTGTAATAAAGAACGAGAACGCTTGCGTCCGAGTGGTTTAAAGTTGTAATAGTTCGGGGCTAGAGTGTACTTTATTGCACTACACGTCGGGGTAGAGCCAAGTGGTTAAAGCCGGGTTCTGTTCCCCACATGGGTAAAATGTATGAAGCCGACATCTGGTGTCCACGACCAAGATGTTGCTAAAAGCGATGTAAAACTCAACTCAGCTCACAATCCAGGGAATAATAAACTTTCTGGTTTCCCTTTCATAGGCCGCCATCAAATAGCTGGAATATTGCTGAGTGCAGCGTTAAACAACAAACAATCCAACCATCCAATCCCTTTTATAGGAACATATCGTCTTTCTACTTATTATACTGGTTTATAACGATGACGGCACGATGTCCAGATATTGCTTTGTGAGATGTTATACCTTGTACATCTCTAAATTCATGCAAGACGTTTCATTTCATGACATTTCATGGAACATCGTTGCGAACTCTTTACGAAATACCAAAGATACAATAGATGTAAGACTGTAGAGATTGCCACTTCCAATACAACGATATTATATCCGTAAATAAAAACGGAAATCTGTATTTTTTAGTCGAAAGTAAATGTACATCACAGAATCATAACATGTTATTTGTCTCGTGGCTATTTCAGAAAAACAATGCAAGGAAATGATTTGTCATGCTAATCCTTCCTCTGTACTGAATCCATCTTGAAACGATGACGTCATCCCCATCCATCATGTCAGATGGAGGAGTCGGTGTTATGTAGCGCCTACGTTGGTAAAGAGGTTTCTGTCTTCTTCAAAATGGACATCGCAGAATCGGAAATATGATTTGCAATGGATTGCCATATTTGTGAAATATAAAAATACAGCCACGTAAAAGTAGAACAGACGGACAAGTTTAGAACGGAACCTGGCTCAGTGCTTTAAGTTAGCTTTTCAGAGTTGCGTCTTTATGCAGACTTTGTATGCTTCCTGGAAGGTCATCATCTTGAACGTGGTCGGTTTCCAGTCATCACAATGCTGGTGAAACGTTCAAGCATTTGAAAACTGGTGACATTGCCTTTGGAAATGTTGGAAGGTTTAATTTGAAAAGAAATAGAAAGTGATAGATTTCCAAGTCTTAACGTGTAAAATTGTCTTATCTGTGAATGCCAAGATGTATGTTTTGTTTGACAACATAATTCTGAAATATCTGTCTGAAAACCTTGGCATCATGATGGCATCATACACGCGAACAAGATGTAATTTTGATAGATGATATTATAGGTGTTATATAAGCCAGGTGGACGGCGTCCGTGTCTTTAGCAAGCATATTTGATATGAGTGGTCAGGAACGCGTTTCGGTGTGGTCAGGCATGATACTGAAGTTGACAAATCGATGTGTCTAGCTTGGTGTACATGAGCTTCGTGAGGTAAGTAATGTGACAGATACAATTATTCTCAGTGTGCACACAAAAGGTCACCAGGTTCCCTATGACATCCTATAAAGACCTAAGTAAAACATGGTCACAATATTGAAAACTGGCGTCAGTTAACTACTTGGTTTCAGGATTTCGGTTTCTTTTTTTTTCAAAAGATATATTTTGATGGTTCCATTACTTCTGTTACGTTTACCACCACCACCACATTAACCAGCGCCACCACTACTACTATCCATACTAGCACCATCAGCACGACCAATGACTGGTTACTGCTACTACTACAACTACTACTACTGCTGCTACTGCCACCATCACTGCTACTACTACTAATGCCACTGCTTCTACTACTACTACTACTACTACTACTACTACTACTACTACTACTACTACTGCTGCTGCTGCTGCCGACACCTCCGGCATCACTGCCACTACTACATCACTAACTATGACACTGCCCGTGAAGGTCCGGGTTAGAATATTGATCTTCAAAACCCATGCTTGTCGTAAGAGGCGACTAACGGGATCGCGTGGTCAGGCTCACTAATTTGGTTGACACATGTCATCGGTTCACAATTGCGCAGATTGATGTTCATGCTGGATTGTCTGGTCCAGATTCGATTATTTATATAGCTGGAATATTGCTGAGTGCGGCGTAAAACTAAACTCACTCACTCAGTCACTACTCCTACTACTGCTGCTGCTGCTGCTTATACTACTACTACTACTACTACTACTACTACTGCTACTAAACTAAACTTCTAAACTAAACCACCACCATTACAACCACTAATATAATTGTACCTTTGTGGGAATTAACCCAGGCTTTGGGCGGGACGCCCTATTCCTTCGTCTTATATACTGAATCAAATGTAGTTATTACCATACACGTATGTCTGTCAGACACTAACAGGTCTTGGAACAGGTTTCTGGAGACTCTAAATATTAATGAATGACCCCGCCCTCTGCCGTCTCGGTCACGTCCAGGATAAATTAATCCGAAACCAGGCTTAAATAAATCAACCACAGAGAGTCAATTA